GCCCTGTGGGGGGTGGGGGAGCATCGCAAGGGTCCTGGAAGGCTCCCTCAGACCCTTGCAACGCTCCCCCCCACGGGGCCAGTGGGGGCGAAGTCACCACCTTCGCTCCATAAGACGCACAGACTTTCTACCCCCCTTTTGGAGGGGGAAAACGTGCGTCTTATGGTGCAAAAAATACGGTAATTTCAACATTGACAACGATGCCGAAACCTTCTTTGATGTTGATGCTGAATACTTCTGCTTAGAAGACTTGGAAGATGACCTTGCGGATGAGGTAGCTGGAACCGAAGGTACCTCAGACTCGGGACGAGGAGTAGGAGGTGGCATTGGGGCTGACTCCATGGTTGTCCAGTTTGACGGAGGAAGCTATTTTTCCCCAAAGGTACGATTTTAGGCCTCTGTAAGCAAAGTTTAAGGGCCAGTTTCGTCAATTTCTTGCACTTTTGATAAGAGTGAGTCTGGTGCCTCTCCCCCAAGCAAAAAAAGCAGTGGTCGTGGCCATCTGTAAAGGGGATTTTGTTGGTGCACAAAGTACACCTCTTGAATGGGCCTGCATCCCTTATATTAAAAAATAAAAAAAATATTTAAAATTTTTTTTTAGAGAACATCAGTTTCCCACCTCTCCCTGACAGGTTAAATGTGATAATACCAAGGTCTCTATTTCCTGTTGATTGAATAACATTGACATCTACATTCATGGCCTACATTCATTCTACCCCCATTTGCACAATTGGAAACATTTTAATGTCCATTCCCTATCCATGATTTAACTTTAATCAGTGAATATTTTGTTCTGTTAATAACTTGCATATTTTGCTCCCCCCAAGTCATAAAAGCAATAGACTTATCTTAAAAAGAAACAGAAGATGGAAAATTGTCTTTAAAAGGGGTTGAGAAACCTCAAATTTTGCTAATTCTTACATTTTCCTTACTTTTGGAGCTTTTTTTGTCCTACATAAGGGAAACCAGATCTTTTAGATTACGGCATACCATTTATTCATTAGTTCATTTTATCGAGCACTTAATATGGGTAAGTATTATGCACTTTAGTTTTGGTTTAGTTCCACTCTACAAACAAAACAAATTAAGAAGGAAGGGAAAAAGAAAAAGGAAAGCAGGCTACCTTTATAAAATGGCACCCCCCACAATATGAAAAATACTAGTTTGTTACAGAATGACTCTTATTATTAAATAGCTACATCACATTAACATATCTCTTTTCTCTCTCATTATGTGCACTATTCCTTAATCTCTATTTTCAAAACATCTCTCAAAAAGGTCTCTAATAAAGAACATGCCTTTGAATCCTATTAGCAAAGTATGTTAAGTTTTCCTGGTACTAGAGATATGTGGTAGTGATGTTTCTTTCTAATAATCAGGTGTGTTTGATTTAATCCAGAATGAAAGCTCAACTTCTTACATCCCTTAAGCTATCAATCTGCACAGAACATCTTGTTCTCCCTGTAGCAAAGCCAGGCCCGGGTTTTGTACACAGAGGACAAGCAGAATATGTTTAAGTGCCTTTTCATTCTGTTCCAAGTGAAAACAAAGCATACCTTTGTGAACCAGAGATACCACAATATATTGTATGTGGAGGGGAATTTATCTAACTGGAGGTAATCCTCACTCTATAGGTTGATTCACAGATATTGAAACATCACTATGCACTGCGACTACTAAAAGCTTTAGCATGTATGTATTAGGGTATATGTCATGCATTTCCTCCTACATTGGTATGGTATGAAAACTATTTCCAAGCACTGAGACCCTTAAAACTGCATAAGGAAAATGTATTTCTCTGTGATTCCTTTAAAAAGAGAATTAAGAACAGAATGACTTAAGTCTGCTCTTGTATAACAAAATAACATTTACCAATAACTTAATCTCCATGAGTTTTGAGTGGAGTAAAAGAGGCACTATATTTCTTTGCTCAGTTTTTGGATATTTTAAAATCTAATCCACTCACCATCTATTGCTGTATCTATCCCTGTTTGCACTTTCTTGTCAGACTCAGCTTTCTTGCTTTTTTGTGTCTAATTTTAACAGAGGCACGGTTTCCCTAATGCTGAGTTTAATCATGGATTATCCTGGGTTCTGTCTCTTTCTTTTCAAGAAGTTAATGATGCTGTTGCAAGGAAATAAGAGATGTGTGAATTTGACAATTCATACAAAACATTATTAGCCAGGTTTTCCAGTTATAGCTCCAGATTGATAATGTTCAGTTTCATGCATCTTAATAAAATATGATCTGTAAATGAAGCTAAACACTTTTTCAAAAGTCCTGCCCAAGTAAAGCAAATGCCAGAATGTGGAAAGGTAACCTAGACTCTAGACTTTAAAAATTCCAGGAGTTAAAAAAACAACAACAACAAACTACTCCAGGTATTTCTAGATGTTATGAGCAGTAGTTAGACTAATGTCTTGAGATATCCATATATGGCGGGCTTTGGATATAATTTTTAGTACAGCAAAACATAAGCATATGTATAGGATTAAGCTGCACAGCATTAAACAATATAGCTTGATTTCCAGCAGTATTTTGAAAAAAAGGCCTTATTGGAAAGGCATCTTCTTTTATACTTCATGTCAACCCCACATACAACATATTCCAAGTCATTAATAACATTCAAAACCAAGCTTAAACATCTAGGTGTTTTAAGTCGTTACTGATGTCACATATTTTCACCTATTCATTCAATGGTCTTTGTATAGTCTTCATACTTACTCCAGATTTTATCTCATTGTTCAATCATTGCTTTATAAAGAGAGACACTTCATGAACAATGGTTTTATTACACACTCAGTCCAGAATTTGGTTTATGTGCCTCTTTCATCACTTCACATTACTGACTGCCATTATAGTCACAAACATAAAGTCAGACATCGAAAAAGCTTTAGATTGCTGACTGACACAAACACAAAGCTCTTTTCCTGCTTTCACATATGGTTGTCTATTATTTACCACAGAAGACACAAAAGATATCCAGATAATGATCTCATTTCTTTTATCTTCTTAAAGTGTAGTCCTTATAGTTCCATACTGAATATACTCATGCACTTTCATTACAGCTTGTCATCTTTTTTTTTCTTTTTTTTTTGTAATTATAACCTGCAATGGACATAGGTGTACACACCTGTCAACTAGGGAGAATAATTGACTGGGCTGGTCCTACTTTTAGGAAGAAATAGGTCCCTGTCGATATTGACGGGATGACAGAGACAGCACTCCACCTGAAATCCCAATATTCTCTGCTGCTAGGTGTGCCATAAGGACATGCACACAGGCACTGGTGCACCGCCACCCCCACGACCTCTAGCACTTACTGCGCACTTCGCAAGTTCTTCGGCTGCCTCAGGTAAGATGAAGTTGGTTGTTCATCCAACAGGCTTCAGCACATGGAGCAGTGAGGAGGCTTCTTGCCCCTCGCTTCAGGCAGCAAAATGCCTTCGGCTGTCCCTAATCTAATAAAGTGGACTCTCGCCCTTGAAAATGTCTGCCCCAGTCAGTCTCCCTTCTTGTAAAAGTTGCCACACAGTTTTGTTTTTTGTGGCAACTGATATAACTCAGCTGTCCCTCAGTGTCAAACCGCTCACACACGGAAGGGGGCAACATGTGATCCTGTACTAACGGAAACCGCTTCCTTTCCATGCCAGACATCGAAAAAGCAAATTTTCATTACAGTGTCTCACAATCAGGCTGTTAAGTGTTTAAGAAAGCGATGGGGCCATTTTGTCCCGCCAAATGTTCTGACCCCTCCATTCTAAAGAATCGCAACCAGTATGACGAAGAGCTAGGGAATCATGGGAGTTGTAATCCAAAGTACCTGGGGAGGGACAGGCTATCAGGCCAGAACGAAATACAAGTGAAACTATAAAACTGAAAAAGCCGAGTAAGGTAAAGGTTCCCCTTGACATTTTCAGTCCAGTCCTGTCTGACTCTAGGGCGCGGCGCTCATCCCCGTTTCCAAGCCGTAGAGCTAGCGTTTGTCCGAAGACAGTTTCCGTGGTCACGTAGGCACGGAGCGACGTTACCTTCCCACCGAGGTGGTCCCTATTTATCTACTTGCATTTTGCATGCTTTTGAACTGCTAGGTTGGCTGCACCTTAAAGACAATCTATTTAATTTTAGCGTAAATTTATGTTTTAAAGACTAAGTGCTGTATTTTAACGCCAGACTCCCTAGTGTAAAGCACCAGACAAGCCCTCTTTCTCCGGCACGGGAGGCCACCCTCCGCCCACCCGGCGGGCTGAGGAGGAGCGGGCGAGCGAGCGGGTCGGCCCACGGCTCCTCCTCCCGGTAGGCAGGGTGGCCGCCCTCGGCCCTTCCCGCGGCGCTCCTTCGCCCGTTCTCGGCCCTGCGTGGTGACGCAGCTGAGGGCGGACGCTGGCTCTCCGAAACCCGGCCCTGCG